AGGTGTTAAAAGTTCCTATGGGTTGCTACAGAGGCAGCAGAGGGACCACCACCTTGGTGCTAAGCTGCTGTTCATTTCCTGATCACTCAATACATATGCCATCACACTGGAGGTAGGCTCCATTGTTACACTACTTACACACATGTGCATTCACACTCACTCACTCACTCACTCACTCATGTGCATACCCTTAGACACGTGTGCATAAACACAAACTGCCCCACAGCATTGTGGTGACCCTGCACATCATCATCTCTGTCCCCAGGGCGCATTGGGCTGTATGCTGTTGGTCACGCTCCAGCCCAGAAATGCTGTCCACCAGACTGCCGTCTTTCATCACCATCTCCACGGCAACAACGCCCTAAGTCACCGTGACAACGAATTCCACCTGGGCCTGTGACACTTGCTGCCTCCTCTGAGCTCAACATTCAATCCCATCTCCCTATCTACTCTGTATAACTCTATTTCAAATGTTCTCGAATCGGCCTCCCTGCCTCTGCCCCTCACTCAATCGCTTACACACTCTTTTTCTCTCAGTTGTTTACATACATTTCTGGGTTCTGAATATTAAATGCACAGCCAGATTAACCTGCCAGGGACTCTGAGGAAAAAATGAGTTGGAGGCCCAAGTTGAAGCTCCATTCCACCCAGTCTTTGTGTATTAGTTGGCACCAGTCTCTGTCAAACACAGTGCAGTTACATGAATACACATGGTATCCTTATTCATTGTCACTAGCAGAAATTATCAAAACTTTAAAATTAGATTTTTACAAAGCATATTTTGCTTCCTCTTCCCTTAAATTATGGACTCGAAGCACACCTTTAAGACCATGATTTGAGTGCATAATGTGCTTTGGTGGTCGGTAATCCCATCAGATTCACAATTAATTGCAATTTTTACAGACAAAGTGGCACACAATGAAACTGGGGCTTTTGGGCCCCCCCTGGGGGTCCAGGGTTTGGCTTCCCTGTTGACACACCAGCCATGACTGGATGTAAACAAATAAACTACACTCATAAAGTGTTGGATAATAGGATTAATGATGCCGCAGACAGTATCATCAAGTGAATTCACGTGACCCTGTGTTAATCCTAACATTTTAAAGCACACCGGAGCTACGGTAATAAACATCTTCTAAAAGTGCTCTGCTGCCATCGTGTGGTTGCTGGAGGAGGAGAAGGAGCTGGTAGACTGTAGTAGCTGCTGAGTAGTATGGTTACAGTGAGGACAGTGTGATAATAATCACATTTGGTTTCATCCTGTATCAGTGCCCCAGATGACTTTAGGGTTTATCATTGGTTGGCTAAATTTTAGTATAAAATCTTCAGTCTATACAGGGTATATTTGAGTTCTGGCGCATTATTCCTACTCCAGTGTATTCCTAATCATTATAATATAGTATTAATACATTTTATTTATAGAGCACTTTTCAAAACAAATGTTACAAAGTGATTTTCAATAAAAAATGAATAAAAAATTAAAAATTAAAATACAATAAGCACACAGAATCATTGATAAAAGTAGAAAGCACACATGTAAAGCTGGAAGCTATAAAACTTAAAACTTAAATAAAATCGGGAAAAACTCTCCAATAAAAATGTGTTTTAAGAAGTGACGAACGAGAGCACAGAATTAGCTGACCTGATTTCCTCGGGCAGGTCATTCTAGAGCCTCGGCGCCCGGACGGAAAATACTTTGTCCCCCTTTGTTTTCAGCCCCCTTTTGTTTTGCCCAAGGAGCCTAAGTAGTGTGGTGGAGAATATGGTGTTAAAAGGTCAGCAATGTAAATAAGACAGAGACCGTTGAGTGCTTTAAAAGTAATCATTCAGGTGAGACATTTAACACTTACAGTAGCTCCATATTATTGGCATAACCCTCAGTGCACATTTTGTGGATATGCACCAAAGTGTGCCTTTTCAAAGTATCCAAACTTTGGGTTTGGGGTTTTTGACATGACTGCACTTATGACAGAGAATAGACATGTGGAGCCAATTCACTGAACACTGACTCGGTCCATCTGTTTTTCTGCAACGACATCAAACAATCAAAGTGATCGACTGCAATAATCGACAATGGTGTAACTAAAATTTAAACAATACTGTTGAAGTATGAGTAATAGCAAATAAAGAAACAGCCAAGTGGATGTTTAGACATAAACACACTTATGTAATGCTTAGGGTATATAGGGCATCATCTACCCAGATGACTACATAACATATAGACAATCACTCACAACATTACAACCACCTCTCTAATATTGTGTAGTTTCCATTGTGAAACCAAAACAGCTCTGACCTATTGGACCATGTACACACAATCACTGTGGGTGTCCTGTTGTTTCTGGTCGTGGGACATTACCAGCAAATCCTTTGGTTCTTGTGGGTTTTATGAGGGGGCCTCTGTGGATCAGGTTTTTTTTGGTTCATTCTGTGGAGGTTGGTTCTGATTTTTGATCTGGAGAGCCTGAAGGCCAGGTCAATAGGCTCTTTGTCATGTTCCTCCAGTCATTTCTGAACTGTTTTTGCAGTGTGACAGGGTGCATTGTCCTGCTGAGAGAGGCTGCTGTCTTTGCTATTCAGGAGTGTTTAGTCTGCAACAATGTTTAGCAGGGCGGTTTGTATCACGGCAACATCCACTTAAATGCCAGAACCAGGTTTACCAGCAAAACATTGTATTGCTATGAGATGATCAATGTTACGTCACCTGTCAGTGGTTTTAATATTGTGGCTGATTGGTGTACTTCCATGGCTGAGAAAGTTTCAAAATTAAAAATTGTTTTAGCATTCAATAACTACATCCATTTGACAGAACTGAGTCACTGGCATCATCATTACACTAGGATAAGACCCACAATAACATCTGTAGGCTTTTGGAGTTTTGAGGCACTTAAGTATTTCCATTTCACTTCTTCTCGACAACATTTCATTGAGAAATAATGTGTTTTTTAGGTACTTCAGTCATCTGCCTGCTGTGGGTAGCCTGTAGTTATTAGTTTTTGCAAACTTCAAATTAAAAGTTAAAATATGATGTGTTGTTGTAGATTAAAGCCCCCGCGGACTCACACTGGTATTCTCAGTTGTGTGGTTGATTAAAATTGCTCAAGTTGAAGCTGCACAAAACTATAGTCAACAACGAAAGTAGGAGAGCCTGAAATCCTGAAAGTCTTGTTGTAATATGTCTTGTGCACATAATAATTTTTTAAAGATTTTGAATTTATGCAATTTATGGAGCCTCAAGGGCTCCATAAATTGAATAGAATGGAGCTAATTTGACATGTACAAAGGACATGAACTTCTTCCACCACTAACAAAGAGTGAAAGTCTGGTTTAGCTATAACACCATATTCAGGGAAACAAAATCCTTTGGTGTGATGGATGATGGAATTTATGTAGCAAGAACCAGTCAAGGGCCGTGAAAGCAGTTCTTCAATTCTTCACCGCAACAGGATTACACCTTTGGAAAGTCAAATCAATTAAACAACAAGGTATTTTAAGCCTATACAGCATTAAAGAAAGGTCTGTACGTTTTGTGTACAGAAGCACAGAAGTGTAATTTTGACTCCAGGACTTGTAATAGATTATCTTGACATTGTGGTATTGCTACTCAAATAAACGATCTGAACTTTTTCCACCACCAACAAAAAGTGGGAGTCTGTTTTGTCTCTTAAACTGTATTCACAGAAACAAAATCCCATGATGTAATGGTTGATGGATTCCCCCGGAGCGAGAACCAGTCAAAGGCTGTGAAAGCAGTTCTTGAATTTATCCCCCAAACAGGATTACACCTTTGGAAACAGATGTAGACCTGAACTGCAACCCCCTTGAGTAGCATTTGTCTGCAGCAGAGGGTGCTGCATTTGCAGGGGTGGGGGGACCACATTTCTAGGACCCTTGTTTTTTTTAATAACTCCAGACAACATGGGAACCACTTGTTTACTCAGTTTGGGTTGGAATAAACCTTTAAACCCACAACTTGTTAGTTAGAAAGTACTCATTGGGTAGAATAAACATTTAAAATTATGGTCTATGTACTTGGACTGAAAATAGTAGTTTGAGTGAAATAAAGCTTTAAAACAATAGTAGAACAGTACTATTTGGGTAGAATGTCCTTTAAACCCATAACTTGTTAGTTAGAAAGTACTAACTTTGTGGAATAAACCTTTAAGATAATAAGTACTTGGACAGAGAGTAGTAGTTATGGTGGAATAAATCTTTAAAGCTACAACTTGTGAGTTAGAAAGTAGTCACTGGGTTGAGTAAACCTTAAAACCATTAGCAGTTCAATAAAAAGTACGAACTGGAAAATATACACTTTTAGAATTACAGCCCAAGTGCTGGGACAGAAAATAGTGGTTTTGGTTTCATAACCCTTTAAAATAAAAAGTTATTTAGAAAGTACACACTGGGTGAAATAAACTGTAAACACTATAAGTACTTGGAAAGAAAGTTAGAACTTTGGTGAAATAAATCTTTAAAAACACAACTTGTTGGTTAGAAAGTACTTACTGGGTGGAAAACCAATTCAAAACTATCAGTCGCTCATTAGAAAGTACTATATGTCTGGAATACACCTTTTAAAAAATACATTCTTGGACAGCAAGTGGTGTTTTCAGTGAAATAAACCTTTCAAAATAGAACTTTACAGTTAGAAAGTACTAATTGGACAGAATAAACCTTTCAAACTAAGAGAACTTGGACAGAAAGTAATATTGCGGGTGGAATAAACCTTTAAAGTCAAAAGTCGTCTACTTAGTCACAAAATCGCCAAGTGACCCAGTTAGTTTGTTAGTTAGGTTCTCGACAGACAAGGGTCCTAGAATTGCGGTCCTGAAACTGCCGCCTCAGGCCTCGTCTTGCCCCCCTGCCCTGCTAGAGGCAGCAAAGTGCCGCAAGGCATCTCTCCTGCCGCAAATACAGCAGCAGAAGGAGCGCTTTCCCCTGGCGGTGAGAGGCGGTAGTCGCGGCGCTGCGGAGGTGAAGCGTCTACAGCCGCCTTCTGTCGTTGAGACAGAGGGAGAGAGAGGGGGAGGACGGAGAATGGCGACCGTGCAGTGCGCTAAATGCACGGCAGAAAGAAAAGGGTTTCGGCGGGAACTTGATTCTTGGCGACACAAACTGATACACTGCGTTGGTATGATCCACGTGCAGTTTCATATTGTGTGAAAAAAAAAAAAAAATCAGCGGGCTTCAAAGATTTTGCCCGGCAGCAGAGGGATCGCTATGTTGGATCGCTAGCTAATGCTAGCTAACTAGCAGCTAGCTGGTAGCCTGGCCCATAGGTGGTGAGCTTTAGCGGTTAAGTTAAGCTCTTGGGCTAATGTCTACCAGCTGGCTAACCGCTCCAGTTGGCTCATTTTCTTTGTCCCTCTGAGCTAGCTAGCTACTCTATCTTGTTAGCGCTTTAAAAGATTGTTGTGTGACCAATAATGTATCTTAATATTGTATCAGGGCGTTTCATATCATTTGTCGCAAACTGATAGTTACATGGTTAGCTTCGTTTGTTTATTGACATATATGTTGGCTGTGCTAATGCCATGCTAAGCTAACATTAACACCGTTGATGTTATTTGGGGGAGGGGGTTGTTGCTACGTTAATGTCAGTGCAATATGAGAGAAGCATTCATTTCAGCGGTCTCGGGTAACGGTTTTCCTCGTACTGTTTGCTATTTTGAACACAGTTTTTATTCTGCAGAAGCTCGTAGCGTCGAGGCTAGCTCACCATAAGTTAGCTGGATTCTTTGCTGTTTATAACGTTTAGTAAGAGTGATGTCAGAATCAGAATGCATACAAAAGTAAGTAATCAATATCACTGCTACTCACGAATCGTATGTGTTGTTTAACTACTCGTTATAGAAGCTGGGTATTAGGTATTGAACGTATTGGGTGTCGTCCTGAAGCTGACAACATCGTAGCACAGTTGTCTGCAAAAATATGTAGTGTTGCAGTAAAACTAGTGTAGGTTTACACGAGCATAAAATGGGGAGAACAGGCTGTACCCAAATGTCAGGCAATCCAAGTATGTATATTTTGTCCACATCAGCACTGACGGATTGTTTCTGTTTTGTTTTTCAGGGTTTGAAACTATTCTGGAGGGAATCTATGGCCCATTGCTACTGAGAGACCTCAATTTATTTGATGGTGGGTTACTGAGTGTGCACATTTCCAAAGTCTTGATCCTTTTGTGTAATCATAAGAGGATTGTACATTTCTTTTCAACAAAATGATGAAATACCCAAACAAACAATGCATTAGTATTTCTCTTAGTGCCTTTTGACTCCTCGACCCTGTCGCAACACAGGCACATTTATTTTTTACAATGGAAAGCCTGAAAAAGCATGTCAATTATTTACAGCGTTTTTTTTCCCTTTAAGCCCAGCTTTAACAAACAGATGGGTATTTGTTGTGGATTTTATATCAGCTACTGTTTGATATTTGATTCTCTCTTGAATATTTGAATCACCACAAACACATATTCAGTATTGTGTGTCACATGCCTGTTTACTGTCTGGCATAAATACGATGTTGCTTATAATGTTGCCCTTTGTTTTTGAAGTTGAACTCAGTGATCCTGTAGACAGTGGTTCATGTTATAAGTGACGTATTCAGTCTATTTTTATCTTTAGAGCTATGGATAGAAATCCCCTTTATGTTTCAGACTGAAAACAGCTGAAAGCATCTAGAATTGTTAGTTATTAAACAGACAGTGTCCTAACATTTTATCAAACCCTACAGTAGTAACACACACTTGGAGTGTGAATATTTTTTGGCATGTTACTGACGGTATGTTTTAGATTTAGTGATATATCACCTCTAAACTGGTCTCCTGGGCTTCTACCTTGTGTTTCTTTGTGGTCCACTTATCACCTCCTAAGTCCTGCAATTACATACCAACTTTGTCAGAGCCCCAACGTGTTAGAAAATGTCTCCACTCCTGTCTGTATAGTGTTCTGCAAGACTGCAGACTCAAAGGAGGTTGTTGCAAAACATTTCCGGTATATAAAACTTAGTTATTGTTTACTTAATTATGTCATAAAAGCAGCAATAAAATGTAGCCCCAACCTCGCTACTCATGTAAGGAGAAGCATGGCATCAAACTTGGAGTCAACCCAAAGCAAGCAACTAAGAAAAACACTAGCATCAAGAGATACTTTAATGGTACATTGGCCCCTATTTGCTCCTTGTTAAAGTCAGATGAATTACCCAATACGGTATTTTTTTTAGCTTATTCTGCATTTAAAATAATGTAAACCACACCCTGTCACCTGTTTCCTGTCAAAAAATAAAAGTCTATCCATGGGGACAGCCCCAAATGTTGCTGTGTCTATTCACTGCTCTTTGTGTGACTGTAAACATTATTTCAAGTAATTTGATCCCTGTTGGTTCCCGTAATAACACTTGTTGTGAGTTCCTACAACAAGGAGGATGTTTTTTTGCAGATTGTGTTTGCTCTTTTTTGCAAGTGATGTCAGTCGGAATTCTTAGGTTTGATAAAATGTGAAACATAGCATAACTGGCTTGCAGCTTAAGAGAATCCCATCAAGTCGGGTATTAACTGTAACATATTGATCCTTACAGTTGTATCTGTTTCATTTGATAGGGATTAATATACACCCTTGAAGCACCCATATTAATACCTATAGATGTGTTCACGTGTATCTAGAAAATAATCCCCTGCAATTCTGTTTTCATTTAGGGAAAGAAATAACCTTGAAATCATCTGTACTCCCGGTGGCTCTACTCTTTTCATTAGCTTGTAGCATGCTTTCACAGGCCCCCAGCACTTGCGAGGCACCAGCAGCCAAAACATGCAGCTTGTTTGACACTATCTGGCAGTATCTCACAGTGAAGTCAGCAGTGCCATCTGGAGTTTGAGCGAGGCTAGCCTGGAACATAATCAGATGATGTGTGATAGGGACCTGGCAGCCATGATGAATTGCTCAGTGAAAACACTGTTTAAGTGATGTTTACTTATTTGCCCCTGATCTAGTTATTTTTTAATGAATATCAGCCAAAGCTTCTCTAGTGTGTTTGTACTGCGTTTATTCGTGGCAGGTTTATTGTCATAAAGCAGTCCTGCTCTTTGCTTCTCAACATTGTACAAAATTGTCTGCTTTCACATTTTGATACTAAAAATAACTCAGAAAACAATAGGAATTAGTTAAAATAATGACTGACAGGATAAACCAAGTAGTGAAAGAACCAAACATCCTGCACCACAGCACAGGTTCTCTCACTGTCAGTGTACCTGCTAAAAATCATATAGAAAAATCTTCTGTCTTTTTGCAGCATGTATTGTCATATTGGATTTGGCCAGATGACAGTTTAGCACATAAGAGACGTGAGATGTGCCTGCAGCTTGTAACATGTTCTCTTGGTAGGAAATTGGTGTGAAGATGCAGTCAGATTCTATATAATGACCCCAATAGGTGGCAATTTAATTCTTGATTCTTAATTTATTAATTCCTGGTTATGTGTTTTGTCTTTCAGACTGTGAACCCGAAGAGGTAGATGACTGGTCCCCAGACTCGAGCCGCTCTCAGTGTTCATTCTGCAGCCTTTCCCTGGACAAACTCAGTGTAAGAATTGCAGGAAGGACTGTAGTCTTTCTTAAAATATGAATATTTTTGTATTTGACGAATATTATTTATTCTAGCATGTGATATATTCATGACAGTAAAACATCTGTAAAATAAATGTTTTCTTTTTCTTTTTTTTTAAATGTAGGATCAAGTACCTGCAGCCACGTCGCCCCTCTCCTCCCCCTCTGATTACTCTGAGAGCAGCCAGTCAGCACATAGGTTCCTCCAAGCTGTGTTTCACAAGAAAGGTGAGTCAGGTGTATTTCCGCCTCGTGGAACATTGCGCAAATGTCTCAGCTTGTAATAATCCAAACCTCCTGCCACAGGTGCGCAGCTATCAGCGTTCTCCTTGCCATTTTCAGTTAGTATCATAGATAGAATAATTAGCAGCTACAGTAACAATGCTCTAAATCAGTGTGATTGAAAAACCCCCAACGGTCTGCTTTAATTTGTCAACCTGTTAAGGCCTCATATTGCTTTGACAAATCCTTTTTTTTTTTTTTTTTTTTTATCACCGAGCAGAGTATTTGCTTTACACATGGTATGTACTGAGGGTTGAGATATCTCTTGATGTTTCTGCTGCTACGCCTGTGCAATGAAGGTGCACTGAATTTCAGTTGTTACTTATTTAAACATATTTGATCTGCTTTTCCACAAGCCATGCCCTGGTTCCTCTGGCTAGTCCTGTGCTTTTGGTTAACAGTTAATCAAGGGACGATGTTTTGCATTTAACTGGCTACATGCCAGCTCAAGATTTCCTGACGTGAGTTTAGAGCTTTGCAAGGCGTCCTTCAAGTCATCCCATGGGCTCAGACAGAAAATGTAGTTTAACATCAAACTGCTTCCAACGTTGAGACAAGTTCTGAATCTAAAATAAATGACTCAGTGACTCAGCTTGATCAGGTCAGAACTAACTTCCAAGTTCCATAAAACCAATCCTTGTAGTTTGGTTCGGGGTAGGAGTTAGCAATGAATGAAATTCTACACCATGGTACAGGTTTTCAAAATCTCAGTACTGATAAATGTTGTGATCTAATAACACATTTTAGAAAAACAATTAAGAAACCATTGTGAAATGAAATAAACCAGGAATATCCACCATAGTTTGCCGGTTCGCATCCCGGTAGGGGCACCGGGCTCTTTCTGTGTGAAGTTTGCATGTTCTCCCTGTGCAGCGTGGGTTCTCTCCAGGTTCTCCGGCTTCCTCCCACAGGGTCCAAAAACATATTGAGGTTAATTGGTGATTCTAAATTGTCCGTAGGTGTGAATGTGAGTGTGCATGGTTGTCTGTCTCTAAGTGTGGCCCTGCGATGGACTGGCGACCTGTCCAGGGTGTCCCCTGCCTTCGCCCCGTGTCAGCTGGGATGGGTTCCAGCCCCCCGCGACCCTAGTGAGGATTAAGCGGTGTACTCATTTATATAGCGCTCCCTCCATCCTCTGTCACTCTTTCAGTTCCTCCCTGGATTTCTTTTTTTCTTCTTCTTTGTCGTTACAAAGGGTTCTTTTTTTTTTTTTTAACTTTTCTTCATTTCCAACCTCTCCTTTTGAAATAGGCCACACAATATGGATATCCACCATAGTTTTTATTTCAAAAAGTACACCATCAACTGAAATACATAACTGACAGTGACCTAATACAAAGTGCAATTACCACAGTATAAATAAAAGGGCAAAATGTCTACCAGTCTTCATACTTTACAGTGTGTTAGCCAGGAAGAGTTCCTGTGTTTCTGGACATTTTTGAAGACACTTGTCACTTTTGATGTTAATATGGTGGGGCCAGGCGATATTTTTGTCACAGTGAATTTATTGTAAGATGTCAGAAAACCCCTTCTTTGAGGACAAAAATACCCAAAGGTTCTCTCATTTTTGTTGAGATTATGTTTGTTATGTTACAAGTTTACACCTAACATTTAAACTCCTGCCTGCATCTGTGCTCTCCGTTAGATGTGCCCCCGGGCTGTGATTCCAACATACCTCTGATTGCCCAGGAGCTGATGAAGAAGATGATACATCAGTTTGCTATGGAGTACGCCTCCAAGTGCCTACTCCCCACCAATACAAATGGTGTTACAAGGACCTCCTCACCCTTGTCAGAAACATCAGATGCCCCTCTTGACCTCACCGTGAGCCGAACACAGGAGCAGAAAGAGAGTGAACCTGACCCAGGTAGGGAAGCATGAAATGCAGAATTCAAAAAGCCTCTAAATAAATGTTTCCAGCTTCCAGAGTTTTCAGACTGTGACATGGGCATCTCCCGAAAGAAACAAACCACTGTGCTCAAACCTTAACCAGTTTAAATCAATTTGTCTCATAACAGACGCTGTGCTAGACCTCTCCAACCGGAATTCTGCCTGCTCTGCAACTTCATCATCTAATCACAAAGCGTCAGGGTAAGACTTTTGTTGCTCTTTGATATCTTCTGTCAGTTGATTTCCGCCGTGTTTGGTCTTGTGTCAAAATGTATGAGAAAGACCTGTCATGATTTGTTAAAACTGGAGTTATTCAGGATACAAAAACACATTTACGTGACCAAAGCATTTCAAGTCCAGATCCACTATGACTAAAACATTACTTTGCATGTGAGGAAATCCATATTGCTTTCAGAGTTTAGTTTTGTTGACTACAGAATTTGCTTTTAGATGTATAGAATGGATGGCAAAGATGGGGAAGTTACTATTAATATTGTGTTGTATTGCTGTTTTATTTTTAGCAGCACTGCTTTATTTAAGTCAGCTAATTACCACCTCTTCAGTTCGAATAATATGCAAACCCGCTTTTTTGGTGGTGCTTTGGGTAATTCTAAGTCATTCTGAGAAGCTAACTAGGGTTTGATGTTTTGATTCTATGGGGTTGACTCTTTTATCTCTTGAGCGGTAACGTCACAGCAATGGCCGTATTATAACATTTGCCAACAGCTCAGGATTGTACAATGAGTAGAACATTGCAGTACCTCACAGCGATTTTACCTCCTTGTTTACTGAACCAGTTATGATGAGTTTGATTATCCAACCTTCAAGCATGTAGGACTCTCACTGAAGGATATCACAAACTACAAGGGTTGTATGTGAGCGCCAAAGTAACCCCAGCCATTCACAGACTGTCCCACCTGGACGTGAAGAGGCTTTGCCACACAAACAATGTGTGTGAGAGAGACACACAGCATCAGTGTGTGTGTGAGGGCCCAGAAACAGACTGAGAACATACAGACACGAAACTAACAGTCGCAGTGATGTTACCAACACAAGGCATAAAGGAGTGGACCCCTCGCTCTACACCCCCCTGTTCCCTATGCCAAAATCAAACCCCCTCCATCACCTCCATCCTGACCCTGCTGTTTGGTCCTCCCATTCCTAGGAGGCAGCGCAGGCAGAAGGAGGAGTACACTGAGAGGAGCTGGGAGCTGTCTGAGGGGTTGCTGTCCAAGGCTTTGAAGGATATACGTTCAGGGAGGCTGCCGGAGCAGCGGGCCGCGTTGCTTTATGGAATACCTCTTCAAACCCTGAGGCAAGGTCTGGACGGCTGGGCTGAGGGGAGGCTGGGGATGCTGCATCAACTCACACCAGGAAGCAGAGATATCAGGGATGAAGTGACATCGTACAACGTGATGTCATCGATGTTGGGCGGCGAAGCCCGTCTTGTTCTGCAGAAGGTGGCGGCATGGGCAGAGCGGGCAGAGATTGGAGGAGCTGCAGAGGAGAATGGAGACTTGAGTTTCCCTTCATCTGCTCTTGCCTTTTATCAACCGAGTGGTCTACAGAAGACTCTCCCTCACTGTTTTCCCCAGCTCAGGGATGCTCTCCAGCCCCCAACAAGCCCCACCCCCAGTCTGGAGCCACCCACTCCCCTGCGTATTCCTCAGGTTCGTTCCATGTCTGACCACAACAGGTCAGCCTCAGCTGAGAATTGCGGTGGGGCTGAAAACCTACATCAACGTACCTCATCAACCGAGGGTACTGCCAGTTCATCGACAGCAGCTGCCAGACCTTCATCTCTCTTCAAACTCAGACCTCCATTCTTGGCACAAGGCTGTCCAGGCAGTGCCAGCCAGTCACCTCATCGCCTGGGACCACGTGGATCCTCACTGGATGAGTCAGAAGATGGACCAGGTTGCCGAGATAAAGACAAGCAACCTCGAAAGAAACGTGGGAGATATCGGCAGTATGATCACGAACTGTTGGAGGAGGCCATTACTATGGTTATGGCTGGTCGCATGAGTGTTTCCAAGGCCCAGGGGGTTTACGGGGTACCTCATAGCACACTGGAATACAAAGTCAAAGAACGTACTGGAACACTGAAGCACCCTCCCAAGAAGAAATCTGCCAACTTTTGTTCATCCAGTTCCAATTCGTCTGGTTCTGGTACTATGACCAGTTCCGTTAACTCAGGGAGTCTTGCCTCCGCTGCTGATGCAAAGAGGTTCTAGACCACAGAACGCCTCGAGAACTCCTCAACACTTGAACACATAACCTCTTACAAGATACATGTTTTCTGGAGACACTTGTTGAAACACAACACATGCCTTTACAAAATACACGGATATTAATATTCAGGTCTTTTAACTATGTGTCTGTAATGTGATAGTCATACTTTAAGCTGTATTTCTCTAGCTTCGTCCTGGGCTTTATTAAAGCAGCTACAAAGTACAGCATTTTTAAAGCAGCAGTGGTGCTCAGCAGGCAGCTTTTGTTTACAGCAGCTCTTAAACTTAACACACTCCTTATAGCTTTAGTTTTGAATTACTAAAGCTGAAAGTTCTTGAAGGATATAGCTTGCATTATTTAAGTTTTCTGTTATCAGCAAATCCTATGAAAAGACCAAACCTGAAACAGAATTTGGGCCTGAGCCTCATATATCAAAACATTTAACTGACACCTCATTGTTTTGTGCCACTGTCTTGCAGGTTTGTGTTGGATTGTTATATAGTATTAGTTTTTTGGATGTCAGTGGCATACTGTGACACAGAGGTATTAACTGTGCCAGTGTGTGGCTACAAAGACCATATTTGTTTTTATACAATTAGACAACCTCAACATTTATTTATAACTATTTTAAAAATCAATTATTTAATCATGTCACTTTGCAAGCAGCCATGCCAAATATAGTCTCGTTTAAGCCCAGAAGCAAGATCAGGATTTTCTTTGACCTGTGTGATACTTAACTGAATATCACTTGGGTTTTGTTGCTTAAAAAAATAAAATAAAATCAGTATTTTGAATACATTTTTGTTTGCAGGTTATGTTGACGGGCAATTTTCTGACATTGTATAGCCATAATGGTTAATTGAGAGAATTATACTATAATCAATGTACTATGAAAGGAATCGATAGTTGCAATGCTACTTGTAAGAACAAATCAATCACTGGCTTTGGTCTTCTTAGGAGATTTGTGGGTTAAAAAAAATAATATTTTGGGGGAAATAAATTAATACCAGCTGTATCCTTAAAGATCTCCAGGACGTTCCTAACTTGGTTTTCATGTTATACAAGTTGGTTTCTCTTGAAGAAGAAAAACTGACATTGATTGTAGTCTAAAAGATTGCTGAGAATCAGGTATGAGCAACACTGTTGTGGACCTTTTTAGAGCTAAGAACTAAAGTGTGACTGTCATATTTGCTAGCTGTTAGATTATTAGGTTATTCAGGTTTAATTCAATTCTTAAAGCTCCTCGGTAATGGAGTGCTGATGATTGTCATTTGCAGCTTTCTAGCTCTCTCTCTGGGTATCTTACCTAGGTTATTCAAGTGACTTAGAGCCATTATAACAAATTAAAAACTCATTACTATTGCTAGACACCTCTACAAACAGGGAGATTGTACAGTATAAAATGCTGTGGTGGCTACATCTTAATTATGAGTTTTTGTGTAAGAGATTAGCTTAAGAAAGCCATTTTGTGTCCACAGTTTTCCTCTCTTTTGTGCAAGCTAGTCTGAACATTGTATTGAGTGTAGTTGGAATGCAACTGTGCAGCATGTTGTAAAATGTGCACTGATAAGCTTGGGAAATGTACGTTATTGTGTTTGTGTACTGTTTGTGAAAGATATTCTTTTATTATTACAGATATTTACTAGTTCTGCTACTGTAGCTGTATTACTGTAAACCTCATACATGACTGCTGCTTGACTTTACTTTGCGGGACTGTTTTCCTGGCACAAAGACGCGTAGCTGTGACAAGAACTTTCAACTAATGATTCAAAGGTGATTTGCAGTGTACTGCGTGAAGCCTAGGTGACAGGTTAGTATTTGTTGTATGGATAAGGTTAATTGTTATTGATGGTTGATTGTGTCGGCTACTGGAGGTTACAGTAGTTTAAGGCTTTGGGGAAAAGTTGGCGGTGTGACCATAAAGTTATTTAGTGCAAAGGCTTACAGGCTTCTTTGTCTGTGTTTGGGGAAAATGCAAAAATGTTGCGTCTACACTCACATCTGCCTCTCAGATGGGCCTTTATCCATCAGCAGTGCTATTACCAAAACAGCATTTCAGGGTTACCCTCACAACTGCTGCTTCAATTTGTTTTGCTGTGATGTCAGCTTGCCTGTTTCTCACTCACACTCTCTAACCTCGTTGCCACATATACCTCTGAACTCTCTCTGCCTATAGCCCAGCGTCAGGTTTCACATCAACACCTCTGTGTTAGGATACTGAATCTGCTGGGGTAAGAGCTCTTATCAGTTTAGGAACACTTAGGAGCTCTTTGTCTCTCATGGAACAACACCTAAGTGTGAATTTATTGCCATCAACAACACTTAAACTTCTGCAAGTAAATTATTATACAGTCAGCCATTTGGTGGAGTGTAAAAGAATTTTTAAAAAGGGTTGAAATTCTGTCCTGTGGCATTTACAGGAGATCTGCCATATTCTTAGCAAAGCATTTGCCCCTTTTGCTTTTCTTTTTATGTGTTGATGATCATTTTCAGGGTGGTCTGTGAAGCAATTTAATTTTTTAGAGCTTTTTTTGTCACACGATTGTGTAGAATTTCAACCTTTGTAACTTTGGCAACTCTACAAATACCGATATCTCTGCTCCTGAATGTCTTTGCTCATCATGGTACACAGTGCCTGTGTCTGGGGCTACAGCTTAGTGCAGTATGATATCTTTACTCTGGGAGTTATCTGCTATTTATATCAAAGGGCCAGTTTGTAAACAAGCCCAAACACCTCTTGAGAAATAGAAACAGATAATTGTCATTGTGCAAGCTTAATTGCAGTATATTCTGGGAACACAGCCGGGCTTTGAGCTTAAGACATTTTTTTGTTTTTTTTGGACTGAACTGCTGGCAAATCTTTAGGGCAAACTTAATATAAATCTGCTATTTATGCATAAATCAGTTATTGCACTATGATTTATAAGAAGCATTTTTATTGTAGAAACCTGTTTTGTGTTGTTAATGCATACTTATTTATTGATTGTGCTTCAGAACTGTGATTTTTACTAGTTTGATTGTAGTAGTTCTTGATTTGTAATGGGGCACTTTGATGCAATGTGATATGTGTATTGCTACAATTGCATGAACGCTTTTAAATGTTAGCTTTTATAATTTATTTTGTCCAGAAATTACACTCTTGCCCATTGTGGTTGTTTAGTACTTATGTTGCAATTAAATTATTTAGGTGATTTAAAGAAAATCATTTGATTATCATATAAAATTCAACATCAACACTACAGAATGTAAATGCATCCAGCCTAGTTGAACTCTGACTAGGCCTGGATGCATACAGTACTTAAATTGCTAGAAATAGTGTCCAATATCAAACCTGCAAAAAGTTTACTGTTAATAAGTAAATGGCTTAATTTAATAGTGAAATATGTCACCTCTAGGACCTGTTGGCTGATTTGAACATTGGAGGTCTTTTTTTTTTTTTTTTTTTTGAACTGTTAATTTGTTGGCAAAAGTGCTGATGAAAAAAGAAACATTTAAGTTTGAGCGTTTCTACAATCGTTCCTTCTGCTTTTAGCAGAATGTTATCATTTGCCTTCAGCAGCTTCTCAATAAAACAGTTCTCTAATCTAACGACTTGTCTGTCATAATTTTACAAACAGAATGGTTTGCTTCAGGGTATTCCTGCACTTAGCTGGGTTAATTTTTGCTTTTTTTAAGGAACTGTTCTTTCATGGTGGTTTGACAAACACTGGCTTCACAAAGCCTAGCACTGGCAACAGAGGATACCAGTATATTACTATAAATGACTATATCGTAGCTGTACATAGTCTAATGTGTTTATTTTTTTCTGGTGTCTAATATAAAGAATTTCATTGCTACTTTTATGGTGCTAGAAAATGCAAACAATGCAATGAGCTACAGTAGGCACGTTCTGCAGACTACATGCATCTACAACAGAGGAATAAAAATAATCAGCCAGGGTTATGTTTGCCGCAGTAAAGAAGTCTGGCTATTACAAAATATCCCCACACGGAGAAGTGAAAGGCAAACATTAGGCAGTGGTATGTGAGAACACAATATAAACTTAATTACATTGTTCCTAATAACATCAGCAGACTGTTGTTATTCTTTGTGAGTACTTAGGTGTGGTTATTTGCGCTCGGCTATGAGTAAAATCTCCTCACACCAGTTTTTCCATTTTTGCCTCCAGCTTCCTGCTGCCACCAGTCACAGAGGACCTGGGAGATGTGGGACAGCGAGGGACTAAGTTTCATCACAGTTCTGCGTTGGATGCCGTTCTAAGTTCTCTCTGCCCAGCACACCGATCCTTAATTTCCCAGATCCTGAAGCTGGCGCACCAGGAAAAATTGCTGTCGTTCCTTAATTGCAGACCTGTAGGTCAGACTGAAGCTCACTGCTGTCACTGTGGTGTAAACCCACAGGACAAGCTTACCACTCATTCAGTCACATTAAGTGAATGTAAAGCCCACAACCACAGCCTCTACTACCCTTTAACTGATTGTGAACATCAAAGTCATGGCAGCACAGGGTACCATCCAGGGGACTCAAAGTCCAACTGTAGCATCCATCACTTATCTTTCAAAGACTGTAACAGTGAAGGTCAGCGGGGCTCAAGGTACGACTGTGTGCAGAGGTGCAGGATGGAAACCCACACGGTTTTATCTTCCAAGAGGCTGCATTGCATTTCCTGCCAAAGCCCTGCTGATGGTCAGACCAACGACATAGTGTGCTCATTTGCATCCTCTCCTCCGTTATCCCAGTCCCCTGCACTGTGCACTCCCTCCTCAAGTTTATGCCCTTCATCATCGACATCTTGTAACCAACACAACCCCCACTCTTGTCCCTGTTATCTAAACCACGTCTGTCTGACACAAGTCAGGAGTACAATAGAAAGGGGGGGTGCAGATAGCGATCCTCCTTGTCCTGTCCTGAAAAGAGAGCAGAGCCCCTCTCCTCCCCCTCTTTCCCCCATCCCCTCAGACATTGGGAAAAAAACTGATGAAAAACCACCCTCCCTTCTTCACCATAGACAAGAAGAGGAAGATGACCTAATGGTCAAAAATACTCTTTTAAGTGCTAGCCACCAGGAAACCGATGTGGATACAACTACAGAAGATGAGCTACGGTGTAAGACACCAGGAAGTGGTCAGGCTGAGCGGACCCCAAGTGGGGCTTTACTGCAAGACGTTATGAATCGCTTCAGTGAGAAACTGGAGACAATCAGACCGCTCGACAAGGACCCAACTCTGGTTTCCACGGCCATCTGTGTTTCTGAGAAGGAGCAGCCGCAATCACCCTCAACCAGTCAGAACCTGGAGTTTCATGCTGATGCCCATCTGACTGAAATCATCACCACAGTGCTTCACACAGGCAGTGCTAGTGACTACAATCTCAGCGAGCTCTTCAGTCGCCATGATAATGGAGAGCCTAAGTCACCCAATACCCGCTCCCGTCGTCGCCAGGAAGTCCTTGCTGCTATAGCAACACCCGCTGATGATGCATCAACCAGAAGACATACCTTACAAATCAAACGGGAGCTTGCTATGCTCGATCAGTCCTGCAATAGGAGAAAGGTGCGACTAGCGAAGAAGGCAAAACTGAAAGATGAAAATGTTTCTGTAACTACATCATGCATTTCACCAGAACAAAACCTGGTTAAAGAGGTGTCTAAAAGAGAACCTGAAGTAGGTGTGGAACATGTAGAGAATCATAGAGAAAGGGAGGGACCACTGAACATGCTGTCTGCAGAAAGTAACGGGCATGAAGTAAAAGAAGAGATTCAGACAGTTATAGTAACAGAAGAAATTCAGATCATTAAAGCAGAGGGGAAAGAAAGGGAAATATCAAGTGAGAAAAAAGATTTTACTTACTCAGGTATTCAAATACATACCCCTGAGCTACAGTGCAAGTATAGCAAACAAGGCTCAAAGTGTGACAGTGTACAAACACAGGTGATTACAGTGACTGCAACCTCAGCAAAACAGTGTGGTCAGCCCTGTATAGAAGGTAGTAAGGGTGGCAGTACTGAAAATGATGGGAGCCACAAAGAGGCTTTATTAGGTCAAAGCTGTGACACTGGCAACAAACCAGATAAAGGTAAAGATTTCAGTAGAGAAAGACAGAAATGTCAATCAAACCACTCCAAAGGGGCAAGAAAATCTGGGAGAAGTATTGTCCCTCCACAGCGATTCTCCTCCTATGTCACAGAGCCCAGGAAGATGTTTTTTGTTGCATGTTTCTCTGAAAGCATCTTTAGCCAGGGAGCACAAAAGGACAAGGTTTTGACATCTAGCACCTTGCATGCCTTATCCAAAGATCCAGATGAATTCAGAAATGAAGCCTGTCTGCCCTCTAAGGAACACACAGAGAAGCTTGCCTTTGAATCAACACAAAAAGAACAACATGGGCCATCTTGCACACAGTCAAAAGATCAATGCCAGGTGTCTCCACAAAGTGTGGCTGCCAAAGAGAAGAATCCTGAAAAACACAGCTCAGGCAATAAGACAGATGGCAGCGACTTGGCTGCCACACCTTATGGAAGGCTACGATCATCTCCAAGACGACTACAGCTCTCAAAGATGCAGAAAAACCCATCAGATGTGGATGTCGCCATCAAACCCGCTACCTGTGCTGAGAGCCCATCCAACTCCCAAATCCTGTACACTAGTCCAATTAAGCTCATGTTTGTATCACCAGTTAAGGATAAGGATGGAGTGAAGTATAGTCTCAAATCAGCAGGCAATGGCTCTGGTACACAGGCAGAAGAATCCTTTGACCCCTGTGTCGAGTCTTCTTGGTCAGGGACACCTCAGAAGCACAAAAGCAAGAGCAGTGAGCCTGCAACATCACAAGTAAAATCTATTTTTTCACCACTGAAATCTGCTACCTCACGCACAAGATCTGCTTGTTCACCAATGAAGTCTGCTTCTTTGCCACCCAAGTCTGCGTCTTCAACACCCAAGTCAGCTTCTTCACCAGCTAAGTCTACTTCTTCACCAGCCAAGTCTGCCTCTTCAACGCCCAAGTCAGCTTCTTCACCAGCCAAGTCTTCTTCTTCACCTGCCAAGTCTACTTCTTCACCTGCCAAGTCAGCTTCTTCACCGTCTAAGTCAGCCTCTTCGCCCAGGTCGGCTTCCTCGTCACCTAGAAATAGTTCCAGACGATCAGGCGATGGCACTCCAACTAAGCGTGTAGCTGGAACTGAGGTCCAGGGATCACCAGGTAACTTGGCATCTTTCCATGAAACCACTCCTCCAAAAAGGCGTCCAGGCAGGCCAAAGAAGTTGGGACCACAGCTAGAGCAAAAAGCGAAGAGGCCGATCGGTCGACCACGTAAGCAGAAGGTTGTGGATGCAGTAAAGGGGGAAAAAACTGTAAATGGAAAATGTCCCTTAGCATCTGATGTTGAGGAAAATGTAAACAAGAACCTCAAAATAACAGTGAAGTATGGTCGTTCAAGGAGAAACAAGCGAATTGTGTCTGAGGGCTTTGAGCAGCTGCAAACAGAATTCAATGATGCTTGGCAAGCTGTGGGTTGTAAAAGTGACTTGGGCATTTTATTGCACAACTCTAAGAGCAGCTCAGGTAGTATCAAAACAGCCTCAGAGGAGTTAGATTTTGTCAGCCCTGTGAAAGAGCTTGCCCCTCAATCTGGCAGTAACATCAAATGTCAGAAGCAGAGTGATTCTGTACCCTCGAGGAAACCAGGCAGACCAGCAAAAGTTAAAATCTCTGGAATCTCAGTCACAGTTACTACAGTGTCACCTCGGCAACGCAGAATTCAAATAAATAAAGATACTCGGCAGTCTCCTGGCACACTAATTCATAAGAAAGTACTGCGACCAGAACTCAAATCTGCCAAAGAGCCCTGGACAATCAGTCATCAGTTAACAAGCAAAAGGAGTCAAACAGTGGAGAGAGGAGAAACAACAGATGAAAGCAAAGACGAACTGCCAGATCAGCCTGTGGCAGTGCGACACTCACTGAGAGTGAGAAAACCCTCTATCCACTTCTTACATGCTGTTGCCACCTCTAGATCTTACAGCCGCAGTAATGCTCTGCTACGGCGCTCGAAACAACTTCTGCTAAACAAGGCCAGCAATGAAAGGAGACAGGAGGAGCAGCAGAGTAGTGTGGAAACTTTAGGGGAGAAAAGACCACTTTGTGGACAAGAGAGGAAGAGCGTCTCTCAGGACCTGAGCAAAGTGGCAGGAGTATCTGTAGAATCAATCTTTAGCCCTAAAGAGACACTAAGGTGGTGGGAAGCATCAACTGAGGAAAAGACAATGAACCAGGAGCTTGCTCGGCGAATCCGAGTCATCTCTGACACCTGGGTCTCAGACACTGTGGAGAACCAAGAAAAAGAACCTGTCTTTACCTCTAAACTAGGTACTAAAGGCAACAGTCCATTTACCAGGAAGTCAAAACATTGCTCTGTGGTTCGAACACTGTTTGACTGCCCAGCTAACAAACCAAGGTCCTATAGCATGCAGCAGATCTGTTCGTGGTTTATGCAGACCACAGAGACACAGTCTCTGGCTATTGTCAAGAAGGCAAGCTCCCGTCCTTATGAACCTCGGCACTTCCCTCGCTCTGCCAGCAAAAAAAGTACTTGCTACAGTCCTCAGGCAGAGCGACTCCGTAAACACATCAAGAAGTTTGCCAAAACTGTGCCAAAAAGTCCTTTGCAACATCAGCAGGCTCAAAGACGGTTGAGGAATAGGAATAAAGCAACACGTAGTATCAGACGACAACTTTTCAAACCCAACTTTCCAGTGGGCAAGCTCAATCAAGGAGTCCAGTGCTGGAGAACAAGAGAATCTTTTAAATACCAAGTTGCTCTGTTTAGAGCAAGGACAAGGTTTCTAACCAGGAAAGAAAGGGAGAGGTGGCGAAAGAGGCAGAGAAATAAGCAAAACATAAATGTAGCAAGAAGTTGCTCCAATGGACGTGTAGTAACTGGACTACAACCAAAACGGAAAGCATTATGCAGATCAACAAAAGATCTATTTTCTGACTGCTGGTGGAGATGGAGGTGGATGGAGAACAGATCTGCGAGCAGGTCTGCTGACCAGACTCAGGAGCCTGTGGATGTACGCAAAGAGCGGGACCTCTGCTCTAAAGCCTGGAGTCCTGAGTCCCTGAAGGAATGCCGGGTGTTGTTGAGGAAGATCAACTCTCCAGACAACGAATCAGCTGAGGAGGAGTCTGACTCCTGTACTGTGACACTGGATGACGGGTTGCCTTCCACATGCCTCTTTGCAGGAAGGGAGCGGGAACTGGTAGGAGTTGTTAAAGCTGTGAAAACTGAAAGGAAAAGGAGCATGAGTAGGAGGACTGCCTCTAGAGAGCTGGCAGGTTCTGCACCTAGATCAGTCCAGGAGCAGAGTGAAATGCCAGTGGGGAGGCAGAAAGGCAAATACAAAAGTCCCGGGGTTGTGTCTACTGAACCATCACAACCACCACCAGCGAAAAAGTTGAGACAATCGCGAATGAGGGGCCTAACCGGGCTAAAATGGCGTGATTATGTATTTGGTAAATACCTTGCTTCTTTTAATGAATTTCACTAACTTTAGTCAAGGCTAAGTTGCAGTTCCCACAAGATGAATTTGTGCTCTTTTTCTTCTTTTCTGACAGAAAACTAAATGAAGCATTGGGCCTCCTCTTCCTGGGAAAGGGACTGTGGTTTAACGTGGTGCCTTTGGACATTGAGCTGACCACGTGGACTGACCATCCCACTATGGTTCAGTCTTACACTCAGCAATTATGTAGCAGTCTAACTTAAAAGCTTGATGTTGCACTATTTTTATCCATGGATATGTATGTACAGTTTTGTTTTGTTTTTTTGTTTTTGGTCAACTTGCCTTTGTCTTTCTGAACGTGTATGGTAGAACAAATCATTACATCAAAGAAGAGTTTAATGGGATAAGCGCTTATACAGTGAGCCCTGTCTGAATAGCCCTATTGGAAGGAAAGACAAAGCTTGATTGCATTAAGACAGTGCCGTCTCCCCCCACAACATACCTCATTATCAAGGCCAGCACCTCTTCCAGAATATGACCTTTTACTGTAAATCCTATCCTGAAACAAGTAACAACTTTTAGTATTTTAATTTCAGCTCTGAACTCCCCTAACCTTAATTTTAATTTATTGTGACTCCTACTTTGGCACTGTTTAAATTCCAAATTGCTAATTTAATAATTTGCTTTGTATTTCTAGATGTGGTAAAAAGTATGTTGAAATTTCATTTTAAATTTTCTACCAAGCCGAGCTATGTTTGCAATATTTGTCAATGCTGCAGTCAGTGTTGTTGTATTGCAAGCAAGTAGCCAAAAACATGCTCTTAATGAAGGAACATTTTAGATCATCTAAGCCCTCCCTCCTTTTTTTTTTTACTTTAATCACTGATTGTGTATGGGCCCCAAACTATAAAATTGTGAACTACAGTAATTAGCCATTAGGATGCACTAAAACCAAACATCTATGTCATTATTTCTTTTTGAGTATTTAAACCCAGTCTCCACACCAAACTGCAATTACCAAACACACAAGTGTGTTCAAAATGGCTACATATTCAGCCCCACAAAATACAAGGGTGTGTCTGTGAAGTGATGAAGAAAAATGGCATTATGCAGTCGTAGAACGTAGATTCTGATAAATATGTTGGTTTGTGGGATGTGTCGTTTTAATTCAGTTACCTTTATGTGAGTGTCTTGTTTTCATCCAAAGCGTATACTGTATGTCAGTGTCAGATCTACTTCTTGCACTATTCCATTTGAGATTATTAATCCCACTACACAGATCCCTCCTCCCATATTTTTGCACATCCCATGTCCCACTACCAACCCCTACTGTAAAACTAGAGAATCTGCTTGGTGCAATACAAACCCAGATGATTTATCAGTATGTAGTAATTATTTTATTGCTGACAGACGAATGGATGTACACAAGTACCAATGGCCTGGGATGTTACTTCAGTCGTTTCCACAGCCATGTAATGTGATCGTAAAGGATAATGCTATACAAACTTTTTCCCACCTGCTTTGTTCTCCTCAATGAAGCAGAAAAATAACAAATACCTAATAGTTATAATTGCATTAAATTGTTTCTATCATAAACGTACTAGCATTATTCACCGTTTAAATGCAGGTGGGAGATCTGTTGCTGATTCCCCGGAGTTCTGCTTTTTCTCGAGTTGCAAGAGACGCCTACCTCCACTGGGTCTCAGCGAGGCCTGCGGCTCTTTTGCTTATCAGCCGTGTAATAGACAAGGCCAGAGAGTTGATCGATAAACACTAATCTTGGATCAATATCACGTTTGCCCGCCTTCGGTTTAGAGGGCGGGTAGATCCAAGATGTCTGGCTGTAGGTCAAAATTTAACCCTGTAGTGTGTATTGTGCCTGACTACCCTTGTATGTACGTCACTATGGTTGCCATTTCAACACGAGGGAGGTGGGGAGGCTCAGTCTTGTGATAAACGACCCTTTGTTTGTTGAAGAACCTGGTGCTAAACATCTGTTGTATATTTTCTTTATCGTGTTTTTATACTGTCCATTACAGATGCAACAAACAGGTGTCTGTGACTGGAACAATAAAAAGAGTCTTTTGAAATAACCAGTGTGGAGCGTGATTTATAGTAGACTGAAATTATTACATAGCGTAGAGATGGTAAAAAGTAAGAGTCCACGGCTAAGTGTGAAGGGCACTGCAGGTCATGGTCAGCACAGTAATTCTTCAGCCAATCGTGTATGTGTCACTTTAAATACTGACTAGTGCTGTTTTTTCTATTGCTTAAATTCATTTTGCTAAACGAAGCCTTTATGTAGCATGAGATCGGTCACTGATATTGTGTAAGTGGACTATCCTGTTAATCCAAGATTAATCTGAAAACTTTCATAACTACTGAGGGGGATTCAAAACAAAATATTTTTTTAAAAACACAAATTTTGTCTTTTTTCTGTACCTTTCAGATTCAGTAAAAATCCTTTTAACACACGACTTACGTCCATACTGAACCCAAAAGCTTACAGACTGCTGATCTAGTTCTGTGAAAAAAAAAAGAAGCAAGCTCTGACATATATATATACATATATATCACTTTAATGATTAAAATGACCAAAGTTGAAATGGAAAATATGCAGAAACGCAACAGAGGAAAGATGACTGATATCAGGAGGTGCCCCCCCATTGTACAGGCTTCAGGTCACAAAGGTGCCAAGCTCACTTAAACTTTCTGAGGCCAGTAAGACAACAAACAAATGTAAGTATATTCAAAAGACAAAAAGTGTTTGTTAATTATGTTGAACTGGTGCACAAAAAGTACTAACTGTTTATAACTCGACTTTTATGACACATTGGCCTCCTGGTTGATGAGGGGGTTGAGGTCCAGTTTCGTCTTTTCCAGAGCTGCAGTCTTAGCCCTCCGGGATGGACGCACCATAGAAACGGACTTTGGAACATTTTCTCCATCACTGTTGCTAAAAGGAAAACATATGAGAGAATGTTAAAGCATAGTAACAGTATCAGACTGTGGTATATACAGTAGGTATAGATATTTAAAATATATGCCATGTTCTAATGTCTTCTTCCATCCTAAAACAACTGATCTCACCTCTCCTCCGATGACTCTGCCCTCCTGCTCGGCTTTCGGCCCCCTTTGGCTGTGCAGACTTTCCTTTGACCTATGCACACAAACACTCAGGTTACCTCGCAGTGCTGAGTCAACTTCTTGACTCAGGTAGACGAGAGGCGCTCTAAAAATATAATGGCGCTGTGAACAACTGCGGTTTTAGATGAGTATACAGAACCTGCATTACCTCTTTTGGCTCTCTTGGCAGATTTAGATGGATCGTCTGTTGCAGCCTCTGTGAAAACACAGCAAACACATCATTCATATTTCTGCATCTCCACCCTCTGTTAGCTGCATTCTTGTCTTGACACACCAAATAGGATGGAATGAGACATTTTTAATCCACTTAGCAACATTCTGGTAATAAGACATAATCCTTTCACAGAGTTGTCACAAAATGTGTAGCGAAAATGTAGTTAGACATAGACACTGAGAAGGTAATGTTGGCTCAGCAGGGTATCAGACAGCTTTTGTTTGCATGTGTACCATCTGCATTGACATCCAGGGGCTGTAGGGCGCTGGCACTGAGGAGCTCAGCCTGCTCTTTCGAGTCCACCAGCTGAGAAACCATCTTTTCAAGAGCCCGGAGACAGACACGATCCGTCACCACCTGAAGGACAGAAGGATGGAACAAGAAATTAAACAGTAGGCCTTTCAAGATGCAGACATTCAGAAACACAACAGTGTGGTTTTAGCCACCTTGTGACATGGTTCTAGCACCGGCACTGACTGCTGTTCACTTGGGCCTCCACTGTGGTCCAAAAAGATGATATTTGTACAGACTTTTTGGGTCCCAGAGAAGGAATCCTTGTGATTTTTGACTTTTTCCCCTTGTGCCATGAGGTTTACATTTGATATTTGGAGTAGAAGGTTTCTACTGACATTTATGTTCCCCTCAGGTTACATTGTAGTTACTTTGATCTCTAAACATCGCATTACCTGCTATTAACAGAGCACAATTTAGATTTTTCCAATACTCTGATTCATGACCCAAAACTAATAGTGTTCTATCAGCAGAGTCAGGCAATGACATGATGGCGATGGCTGCAACGCCCACACTGAGTATAAAGCCCCACTGCGCAGGAGGCCTGTGGGTGACGTCAGAGGGTTCATCCATCTTTATTTACAGTCTATAGTAGGTACCTGTACAAGCTGCTGCAGCAAAGTCTGCAAATCCTTCTTGACAGTTTCGTCTCTGCTGAGCTCCAGGTTGCTTAGAGTCTTGGCATAGAGACGCACCTCAGGGGCTGTGGGGTCCTTCAGCATCTCACCACACATACGCACTGCCAAGTAGTCATGGACACACACCTCCTAAAGACAGATGTGTATTTAAACACACAATCAGTAAGAGATTTATTCTTTTTTTCGCCACACTGTGATCAAATTAATCATTTTAGTATACATTAATAGTCATATTTAATATTCCAAAATGGTTTACTTCAGCTGTGTATTAATGCTCTGCCTGCTCTGACGTGCGCTGGAGTAATCAAGAGAACAATTTGCAGACTGTATTAACATGTATTTCTGGAAAGAAAGCAATATAATGAAAACCTCAGGCAGGCAATAAAAACAAGTCTACCAATAAACAGAATTTTTCTAGGGGGACTACCCAAATTACCTTACTGAGGGTTTCTTTTTTAATTCACATGAGTCTCAGTGGGTGTTTCTTACCTCTGTGTTAGCTGAGGGTTTAATCAGTGCACTTGGGCGGGTCAGCTCAACAAGTAATTCGACTACATTGCTAATATCCACCTCAGCCAGTGGAGAGGTGGCTGGGGCATTCATCAGAGTCCGAACAGTCGGCAGGAAACTCTCCTCTACAACCTCCTGATGGACCCTAAACACAAAGACAAATGGCGTATTAGACTATATTATATAAATCATAATTCTTCTAGATAGGTACTCGTACTACACACACTGTTGTAATACATAAGATAAACCACATTGCTAAGCGCTTGCGTGTGTGACCTGCTCTCGCGGGCGTAGAGCTGGAAGAAGACCCCGAGGCAGTGTCGTAGGCGAGTGTCGTCCTCAGTGACAGGATTGTACCACAGCAGCACCAGACGGGAGAGCATCTTGGCACTGGACATGCGGCCTGTGTACATAAGTTTGGCCAGACCCTCCGCTGTCTCTGTCCGCAGGTCAGACACCTGAGGATGGTAGACAGGCATTTTAACTTTATTTAAAAAACAAACAAAAAAAAAACACATGCTGCAGTTAAATATAAGTTAATGCTTCAACTTCACCTCGCTATCCAGAAACTCTGAAAGCATCACGAGAATACTCTGTGCGGTATCCTCTGGCACGTCTCCCTTCTCCTCAGCCACTGCTGCTTCGTCCTCCTGCTTGTCCGGTGATTGGGAGAGTGGGCCCGCCTGAGTGACAGCTGTTTCAGAGAGCAGCTGGAAGCCAAACAGCAGCAGCAGGTCGATGATGGCCCGCAGAGCACTGATACGGATCTTTACTTCATCCAGCTGGGCAATCTGAAAACATGCAAAGCAGCTTTAGCATCGAAGATCCCTGAAGTCATATTTTCGTTTTGATCAGGTCACTGAAAAGATTTTTCCACATATAGCCCTTTTGTTGTATTTAGTCATAGAAGTTTGTTTCTATTGGCTACAGTGTTTAAAATATTGAAATGCCAAAAACTACAACTGAAACAGCCTGCATGTATTACAGTGTTAAATAGATCATGAGAAGGCCATGAGGAGTTTAACTGTGAAAACATTTTCTTGGGTGCCCTGACTCTTTAACATGTAGCATGTTCTTAAATGTATGCAAATCATTTTTAGGTGAATGACACACTTGTGTGAAGTTACCTGTAGCAGCAGGACCATGTGGGTTTTGGCCAGCTCCTTACTGTGCAGAGTGCATGTTCCCAGACACACCACGGCCATGTTGCGGACAGCAGGGTGAGCATTTGCTATACTGGGCAGGATCTGACAGAGACGAAGAAAAATAATGACATTAACCATTTTGCTTTCCATTGCACTTTCAAAGAAGCTCACCATTACACCCAAACAAGTAAATATTAGTATAAGTTTTAAAGCTGAAAATTACTTAGTGAGCTACACATCTCTACTGACAGTGTAATAAAGGTTGTGGTTTGTGGGACAAACAAGAACAATATTAGCAATGCAAGTGAAACAACACCAAATGGTTTAACACAGCCACATACTGGAGAAAATAACTGCAGTTAATTTTGTCATAACTCCCATCTGTCCTTAATCTTAAATGTATATTTATTCGTTCCTGTAGCTTAGTTTGCAATGAGAACTCTTATCTTCATTTGTTTTTTGGTTTAGTCAAGATCTAAAAAAAAATTTTTTTTTTAAAAGTGTTCTGTCAAACATGTTAATGATTTAATATACAGTGTTTTAGTTGTGCTTAAAAACAAAAGGTAATATGTCTAATCAGAAACTCTGACATTTTATTTATGGACAGACTATATGTGGTTGTTTGCAAAGGTTTGGGCAGAAGCCAGAATGCAGTCACTTTTGTATTTGATGAATATGAAGAGAGACAAAATAACAGTGATCGACCACCTTACTATGTCAATACTTGCAACACTCATTTAAAAGATATCAAAGCTCAATAATGCTTTTTACTCTTGATTTAGGGATTTTAAGCCACACTTCCTCATAGACAACTCAAAGATGTGAGATATTTTAGACTGCCTTGCACAAACAGCGTAAGATCTCCCAACAAATTATCAGTAAATTTGCTGATATTTAGTGGAGTCCATTTTTCAATTAGCAACTGTTCTTTTCTTCCAAATGTACTGTTAGTGATTGTGATTTATCTATTCACAGAAGCTATTTCTGAAACAACTCTGGCTTGGTTTTGTCGTTGCCTTTTGTGATGAGTTCGCAGATATGTTTTTCTTTTATTTACTCATCTATGTAGACCTTGTCTGTGCATCAATGCTACAAACTCCTACCACTCCTATGTCAGCTGAACTTTCCTGCAGCTCCTCTGCAGTCAT